AAATCTTTTTCACGTCTCCAGTGTTCATATACGTATGTAGTAATTCCTAAGTCAAAGAGAAATCTGTCTAATAGCTCTAGGTGCACCTCTCTAGCCATGTGTTTTCATTTTGGGACATTTTCCTTGATTCAATTTGATGAACTGTTACAAAGACTTATACTCTGTTTTCATCTGTGCAACAGAGGTCATAATGGCTTGAGGCTAGAGAAGCACTGCATTTTACCCAGCATGGAGGGGAAGGGTCAAAAACAGCATGAGAAAAGCTTCTGTTGTGTCCACGATACAAAGAGAGCACGTTCTGCAACACACAGGTGATAGTTTTAAGAACAACTCCATGTGAGGCTACAGGTAAATGCGAAATAATTTTCAGAAATTCTGAGTCTAAATTCGTGTGGGTCTCAGTCCCATGTTTAGATAAGGAAATTGAACACCTAAGTCATGCCAGAGAAAAGTAAGGATTCTGGACTACAAATGTACAATGTGCAACTTCATGGGCTTCAGTCCATCTGCTCCAGTATGGAGCACTCCAGGATATGGCATCAGGACACAATGATTAAAATGCAACGGCTGCTTTGTGGATTGACTCTGAAGGCTTTCTGACCTCTACAAACTACAACTAACATGCCTGATTGTATCTATTTCAAGAATGTTTTTGTTGTTTTTCTGTGAGCATGGGAAAAGGCTCTGGTTTTAGGCTGTTCCTTGACAGACTAAGATTGAATGACAAGATTTAAAAGTTCAAAACTGCCTGTGTATAGAGTTCCTTCCTCAGTACTGTTTGTCTCTAAAGAACTTAATTCTTTAAAATGCAAATATAAGTTGGAGTACTTCATGAATTTATGAGTATGAAAAACGAATGCACCTCAGTTGCAGTGGGAAAAGACAGATATTTCTGTCTATAAATGGCATATTTGAAAGCTAGTAAATTGTTTTGCTGGCCTACTTTGCCTCCTAATCTCACTTTATACAAGTATCTGACACTGCAAGTAATCTTACAATGGGAAAAAACAACTCTACATTTCTGTTATGAGATCAGAAGGTTTCCAAGAGAGAGGTTAAAATCACTCCTCACATGTTGCTTTAGATGCAACACTGATATCCTTTCTTTCTCCTTCCATGACAGAAGCTTTTCAGATGGCTGTTTCACTCAAAAGCAGTAGATGCAGTTTAACTCATATTTCCATTCATGCTATATAAAGCCCATGCAGGCACTCTCAACTCACTTACTCTGGCTGTTCTCTAGGGTCCCAAGTATCATCAAATTCAGATCCTTCTGGGACCTCCTCTGTATTCCAAATAGTTTTCTTGTTTTCAGATTTCACTTGAAAAGTACCTGTAAGTGATGAGAAAAATCACACTGTCGTATTTTGGAATGTCGCTGTTCCTTTAGGTTTGCTGAAAACTTAAGGGGGTTTTTTAGGCTTTAGAAAAAACTTTGTATTAATAGCTTTCTAGTTAATGATTACAGTCTCCTTCACCTCTGTATCTTATGAATGAGAATTTGCAGAGGGAGGATGTTTTCCTTTCCCTTAAATCTCCTTTACTCAATCTCTGTGTCAAGGAAATCCTCCTATCAGGCATAAAATATGTAGCACTTTAGAATGGGTAAAGTGTGGAAGTATGAAATATTAATCTTCCCCAGGCCCCTGACATGAGATTTTGAAGTGAGCAGAGTCATTAACAAAAGGACCTCCTCCTCACACAGAAATCCAGTTCTTCCCATTAATTATTGAGCACAGCTCAGATAAGGTACTGAAGACACATGAAAGTTCACGGTGAGAATACTATGGTTTATGCCTGTCCTACATGGAAAAATATATTTTTTAGTAAGCTGGTAAATCTACAGCTTGAAGGTTTTTATAGTAGAATCACAGAATGGTTTGGGTTGGAAGGCACCTTAAAGATCATTTAGTTCCACCCCCCCTGCCATGGGCAGGGACACCTCCCACTAGACCAGGTTGCTCCAAGCCCCATCCAACCTGGCCTTGAGCACTGCCAGGGAGGGGGCAGTGACAGCTTCTCTGGACAACCTGTGCCAGTGTCTCACCACCCTCACAGTAAAGAATTTCTTCCTAATTTCTAATCTAATCTACTCCCTTTCAGTTTGAAAGCACTACCTGTTGTTCTATCACCACACTCCCTGATAGAAAACCCCTCCTTATCTTTCCTGTAGGCTCCCTTTAGGTACCAGGAGGCTGCTATAAGATCTCCCCGGAGCCTTCTCTCTTCTCCAGGCTGAACAAGCCCGGCTGTCTCACAGGGGAGGTGCTCCAGCCTTCTGACATCTCTGTGGCCCTTCCTTGGATCTGCTCAAGCAGGTCCATGTCTTTCTTGTGCTGGGGGCCCTAGAACTGGAGGCAGCACTGGAGTGGGGTCTCACGAGGGCAGAGTAGAGGGGCAGAATCACCTCCCTTGACCTGCTGGTCGCATTTCTTTTGATGCAGCCCAGGATACGGTTGGCTTTTTGGGCTGCAAGCGCACACTGTTGGCTCATATTTAGTTTTCCATCTACCAGCACTCCAAAGTCATTCTCCGCAGGGCTGTTCTTT